ATCAACTAACAAAGTCCCCAACATGCCTCTTCATCCTACTCCAACAGTATTGAAAACGAAGATCATGGTACATCTTTGTGCCACATGGATGTACAGCAAAACGAGAACAATGGAACTCCCTAAGCATCTCCTATCTCAGATCCATAGATTGGGAAACAACAACCCCTTTCCTAAATCGAAGACTATCATCCATGTGAATAACCCATCCCTCATCACTTGTACTTGACTATACCCGATCCCTGATGGACAATACCTTTGTGTCATGCCCCTGGGACCCGATCACCCTACTCGATAAGGAAGGTGTAGCCGCCAAACTTCCCAAAGTGCCCTAAGCCTGACCACTGTAGTACAGTCTGAACTGTCACACGGTCTCGAGTATCTATCACTCCCAAGAAGCTACATCAGCCAAGACTCCTCATGACTTCCGGCTGATGCATCAACTGCCACATTTGTCTTACCAGGATGGTAATACAAAAGGAAGTCACAAGCCTCCAAAATACTCCATCCACCTGCGTTGCCTCATATTGAGGTCCCGCTGCATTAAGATGTACTTTAGACTTTAAAGGTTCGAAAATACCTCAAACTGCGCTCCATATAGATAATGGCACCATGCCTTCAAGGCAAAGACAATGACCGCCAACAATGTCATGCGTTGGGTAGATCTGCTCGTGGCTCTTCAATTATCGAGAACCATAAGCTACACCCTCCCGTACTGTATCAAAACACACCCAAATCCGTTATTAGAGGCATCACAATATACTATGTACCTCTATCCCCTCTCTAGAACTATTAGAATATGAGCTAAAGTCAGCCTCCTCTTCAACTCCTAGAATGTTTTCTCACTTGAGTCATCCCACTGAAATTTGACATCTTTCCTAGTCATAGGTGCATCTTGTTGGGAGAAGTCCTCAATGAAACTCCTGTAATACCTTGCCAATTGCAAGATAATACGTATGTTGAAGACTGACTTCAGCCTCCCTAACTCATGACTGCCTTAACCTTCTCCAGGTCCACAGATACACCCAAATCCGTCACCACGTGTACCAAAAATTTTATTTCTGTCATCAAAAATTCACACTTGCTGAACTTGGCATACAATTGATAGTCTCTCAAGGTTTGGAGAACAACCCTTAAGTGACCCTCATGCTCATCCTTAGACTTAGAGTAGATCAGAATGTCATCAACAATGACCACGACAAATTGATCTGGGTTGGGTTAGAACACCCTATACATGAGATCCATGAATGCTGGCGGGACATTCGTCAATCCAAAAGGCATAACTGTGAACTTGAAATACTCATATCGCGTCCTAAAAGTCGTCTTAGGAACATCTGCCTCCCTAATCCTCAACTAATGGTAACCCATGCGTAGATCTATCTAGGAGTAGACCCATGCCCCTCTCAGTTGATCAAACAAGTCATCAATCCATGGTAAAAAGTACCTATTATTGATAGTAACTCGATTCCTCTACTGGTAGTCTATACATAGTTGAAAGGTCTTGTCCTTCTTCTTAGCAAACAACACTAGAGCGCCTCAAGGTGAGGTACTCATTCTAATGAAGCCCTTGTCCAAAAAATCTTGCAATTGGACCTTGAGTTCATGTAACTCTACAGGTGTTATTCTAAGCGGAGTCATAAAATTAGGGGACACACCGGATTGCAACACAATGGTGAAGTCTACATCCCGATGTAGATAATCTTGATAACTCGTCCAAAAAAATATCCGCATACTGACAAACCACTTGAGGTAGACCCAACTCTTATCTCACCTTGTCCTCTAGGATAAGGCTCGCAGGTCAACCCATCAACTGCCCATGCCAATGGGAATCATACACTACTTGGAGTAAAATATTGTGTTTCTCCCCCTGAAAACTTGAAATTAACACCCTCCGGTGTACAAGCAGTGACCCTCTTCCGATCATAGTTAATGACAATTCGGTGTGCTTCTAACCAATCCATCCCAAGGATGACATCAAACTTCGAAATGTCCATGACCCTAAGGTCCACCGTGGGTAGAATTCCTGAGATCTCTAGCTCACAACACTAACATATGTGATCAATACATACCCTAGCTCCTAGGGAAGAACTTACATGCAATGGCTCTTCCAAGGTATCAAGCTCTAAGCTTAAATAACTTACACAAAATGTAGAAATAAATGAATGTGATGCACTATAGTCAAATAATACCCTTGCCTATAAGGGAGAGAGTAGAAATATACCCTGAATAATCGACTGATCCACTGGTTTAGTTTGAGTAGTGATGGTGTAAACTCGCCCCAGGGTCCATGAAATCCCTGCCTGTAAGCCCTATCAATGGCCTCGGCCCATGCTTTGGCCCATCTAGCCTTATTGCGAAATCCTTGCTCGTGAAATAGTAAGGGCCTTTGTAGCACCCTGGAATTGAAACTGGTTTTCCTGGCTAATGGTGGGATAGGGAGGAATGAAATAAGTCTGTGGATACCCTATCGATGAATGAGAGTGAGGTGTTCCATAGCTCTAGGATCCTTGCCTCTGAGGACAATTCTAATTCATGTGACCCGGCTGGTGGTATATAAAACAAGTCCTTTGGCCTGCCTAGTGGGACCTAAAGTTTCTCCCGCCTTAGGAGGATTGACCTTGGCCATGTTGGTATCTCAAAGGGTTTTTTGTTGACTTATATGTTTCACTATTACCTTCTTCTGGTTGCTACAATAATTTGTCTTTTAATTCTGCTACAGTGTACAGTGAACATTGCTATTATTATTCTCATAGTGATCTTTTTCTATATCCTACTCTTAATGTCAACAATTTATGGGGAACCAAAATTGCATCAGTCCTATCTCTCGGACACGGCCTAACATCCACACGCGACTTTGGTGCAGACCCATAGGAATAAAAGAAAATCATTATAACAGAATGACCTAACAAGTTCAGAGTAGCAGTAGTATAATAGAATTAAATCACAGTTACAAAGAACCTTTCTGCATTTTTGGATTGGTTTTCACAACACCATCCTTAAATTTAATTTATGGTGCTAAACTCCTTTAGTTTTTTTTTGGGACATAGCAAACTTCTTTTAAAAGAAAATTATGGTGCTAGGAATTACATATTTAAATTATTTCTAAATAAGTCAAAAGTAGTTTTACCACTTAAATAAATCAATATATATAAGTTAAAAAAAGGAGAAATTTCTACTTCCCTAAAAAAAATTCTGCACAAAATACATCTCATTTTTTACTTTTATCACCACCAAGCCTGTCCTACAACTACCACCACCTACCCTCACAACCACCACCAACCACTTGCCATCCTCCACCACTAGTACCCATCACCACCCACCACCACTCCCTACCACCAACCATCTCTTATCACTGCAACCACCATGCTCCACACCCACCTAACGTCATCACCACTACCACCTACCAGCCGATGACACCACCATTCGCCACCATCACCATTACCACCCGTCTTCACCACCACCACTCATCTTCACCACCTACACCTAACGCCACAATTGCAAAAACCATATGCCACCATCGCCACCACAACCCCCCACCACCACCGACACCAACAACTGCTTTCACCACCCGTCGTTCCACCACCACACTAATTTCGTACAAACTTTTAAACTACAGTGAATTTTCACTATTATAAGCCAATTTTATGATCCAATCGCAGTGAAATTAGTGTCACAGTTTGAACAGTAAAATTGGATGCATACCACTAATAAATTTTGGCGAATGATATTGGATTCAATCTAATCAACTACCTCTATGTGTTACTAAATTTAATCAACTCTCTCAATTGAGAATAATTTATTTTTAATTCCAATTATATTTTTAAAAATTTTGGTTACTAAATCTAATCATATCCCTTGATTAATCATAACTTATTCTCAATCAAAATATTTTTCTTAATTAAGTTACTGGATCTAATAAACTCCATTGATTAATCATATTTTTTTTTCTAAATTTCAATTACATTACTTAATTGAATCAATTTTTTTTTCCAAATCAAGATCAAGTCTCATTAATCCATTAATTAGCAATGAGATTAGAAAATCTTCTAAATTCCAATTTTTTAAAAAAGTTTCATAAAATATATAGCATTATTAAAATATCTTTTAAATTGGAAACGTAATCTCTAAAATATTGGTGTTGTTTTAGATTGTACTTTTTGAAGACATGTGTTTGTCATTAAGGACACTTATAGTTTGATCCCCTAATAATGAAATCCTAGTTCAATCCCTGTATATAAGGGGCTAATATAAGGTTTTAGAAGATTTTTGATTATTGGTTGATTGGAATATTGATTATCGATGTTCCTTCCTTTTTTTTTTTTTTTATTTCTCATTTAGTTCGTCTCAATTCTCATCCATTTCCACTAATATTCTCTTTTCATCCCCAACTTCTACTTCCCCATCCATTCCAGTTGGTATTAGAGCCTACGTCAATCAGGCATGGAGTTTCCATGACCAACTTCATCACCACCATCCGGTTCAGTTAAATTGGATGAAAAGTGTAACGTCGCACTTTGATTCACAAATAACGTGAGGATTATGTATATATTTCTTAGGATCAGAAGCACAGTTTTAAAAAGTACCAACTTCAAAGGTAAAATAAGGTTTGTCCTTTTTTTAAGTACTTGTTTTTGGTGGGGGTTGGGTGCAGATTTCTCCAACGTCACCTTGAATTTGAGCCGAAGAGACAAATTGCACAGTAAACCCATATATTCATCTTTAATGCAAGGAAGAAAAAACTCAGAGAAAACCAAATTTGGCCGCCTCAATCAATAAGCTTGGCTATTAAGATTTGAAATCTAAAATTGCTATTTTTGAAATGGAGAACAAATGTCTTAAATGTGGCAGTCAAATACCAAAACAATGGTCAAGAAGTATCATTTTGTTATACATCAAGCCAAAACTGCTGGTTCAATATGAAAATTGGATTCACTTGCCTATTCTCGTGTATATATCTGTTAAAATCTCTTCCGATGTACATAGCCAAACAACAACAAAAAAAAATGGTGAAGGGCACGATAACCTTTGTTATTGCTGTGCTTGCCGCAGCACATTTTCTGGTTGAACATGGAGAGGCCCTTAGCTGCTCGGACATCCTTCCAGCGACAGTTCAGTGTGCCCCATATGCAACAGGTGCAGTTCCTCAGCCGTCTACCGGGTGCTGCCAGGGGATAAGCCGACTCAATGGGATGGCCGGAACTACTGCTGCTCGGCAACAAATATGCAATTGCCTCAAGCAATTTGCCCCTCAGTACCCAAATGTGAAGGACTCTCTACTTTCTTCACTTCCTAAAAAATGTGGTGTTCCACTGCCCTTTACGCTCAGTCGGAGCACAAACTGCAATGGGTGAGCCTTCTTTTCTTCTTCCTTTCAACGTGGTTTTATAAGTAATAGTGTTTAATACGGATGATAATTTTCAACACAACATGGTAACTTGACATGACCCAACAAGAAACTTTGTTTGACTAAGTTCATGAATTTTTATTTTGTACACCTGCAGGATCCATTGAGGTGAGATTTTCTGAAGAACTGATGTGGGAGAAGTCAGTTTGTTAGCTACTTGTACACAAACTTTAGAATGGATGTGATAAAAATAAAACTCATTTTTGTAAATATCCTTGGTACTTTCCTGAGTTTCTGAAGGTTAATATAAAAGATCATGTACTTCTCCTTTAAGCTTCTCTCATTTTTTGTGCAAATAACTGCATACTTCTTGGCTAATTTATTGTTCTTGTAAATTCTATACTCATGATCAAAGTTGGGTTAGTCAGTTGAGTCTTATACATTCTTTTGATGTAAAAATGGTCAATTGATGAACGCAAGTTTAAGAACTTTCATCCTAAATGTTATAGGAAGTATTAAAACCTTATCCATGACGCTGGAATGATTAAGCAGACTTTTTTCAAGAAACTAAGAACTAGTCGAAGAAAAGACTCCTTACAAAAATTTTGGGACTGACTTATATTCAGTTGAAAATCCACCATTTGTTGTAAAAATTCGTACAAGAACACCACGAGAAATACCATAGCAAATAACGTTAGTACTAAAATTGATCTGTCTGCTGAACAGAGTCTTAACGCTCTACAACTGCCTAAACTGAAAAAAAAATAAAAAAAATAGAGTGTCTCAACAGCAGACAATTAAAGGCAACTTGGGAACGAATTCCTTTGAAGTATTTAGTGCTCTAATCAACCGAGCCGTGCATCATAAACGATGAGGGTAGCTTAATAGTATTAATAATGAGATTTATTTTCTCAGGGTATTCTTTTCTTGAATCAATCCTTGAGATTCGATTTTTTCAACAACTAAACGAAAAATTGCATATGATCAATTGACAGCAAAAACACTCACACCAACCTTTTTAATTGCAACAACATGAATATCAATCGCATTAGACTAACTGCCTCAAGGAATAGCCTCAACTGTTGATTATGTAAAAGTATATCTGAGTATGACACAAATCGACAAATGCTTTATTAATTGAAAATTCACTTCACATATTTCCTCTCTACTAAAAACAGAGAATTTACATGCTTATGTAAACTCTTCAATGACTTCTATGCATTTCTTTATTTGCTAATCTATTTAGTATTCAAGACTTTATATCCCAAAGTAAATATAGAAGACACTAGAATGTGAATTTTAGAATATCCAAAAATCAGTTGAAACAAGTTTACAAACTAACATTTAGCCCCCTTAAACTTGTTCCTTCATATCCTCTAACTTCCTTTGGCTTTGGAAAGTTCCAGCTTTGAGAGGCTTGGTAAGTATATGAGCAACTTGCTTATTTGTCTCGACATACACCAACTCAACGCAATATATTCTACCTCACAAGTTGTTAATGCAACAATTGATTGCTTCTTTTAGGACCATGTGAATGTAATTTCCCCACTGAAAAATACAAAGCCCGTAATGCTCTTCCGATCATAATAACTTTCAGCCCAATCACTATCACTATATACAAAAAAGTTTGAAATTAAACAAGCTGTTCACACATAACACAATAGGTTTTCATTATACCTTTTGAAGAACCTAAAAATTAATCGGATCGCTACTTGTCATTACGAGCCAAACGATGCCAAACCATTAGAAATAATTCAAACTAAGTCTGTTTAGAATTTTAAAATAAATCTGATTTTGGTGGTTAGACTTGAATTAGAGTTGTTTGAGTCAATCAGTTTAAATTTGAGTTGTTGCTAAAACATCTCATGTAATGTCACATGTTGTTGTTATATATATGTGTGTTAATACATATCAATATATATATATATATATATTTATATATAGTATACATAAATTACAATTGTACTTCTAAATTGAGATTGGTGAGAAAGTGAAAATTTTCACTTCCCTCCAAAACATTCAGAGTATACATGAATTCCACATTGGTTCTTAGAGGTTCTTCATGGATTCATCTTCATCTATAAATAGAGGAAGAACTCATTCTCCACTCAAGGTCTCAAGGAATTCTCTTAAAGAGGAGGCGTACATGATAAGAATTTCAAGTTATAATTTTATATAAAAGAAGAAAAAGAAGAAGAAGAAAGAAGAAATAAAAGGAGGAAGGCAACGTTCAAATGCGCAAACGTGATTAACCCTAATTAATGTGTAATTTAATTAAATTAACAGGTCAATTGTGTTGATTAAATAAGTTAAAAGAGTCAAATTAGGGTTAGTGTGTGAATTAGGGTTAATACATTAATTGTTATTATTTACAGGGGAGCCAACTGTCAAAGTTAAAAACTACAGGGTAATGAAATGTCAAAACTCAAAATTGAGGGGATCAAAGTGTAATTTCAAGTCACCTAACAAGACTTTTACCATCTCTTATTGCCTATAAATACCTTTCCTTGGAACTTATAAAAATTATCTTTTGGGAGTGGAAAAACCCTCCAAAAATAACTAGCTTTCTTTTATTTCATTATTACTTTCTTTTACTTTATTAATTTTATTAGTTTCTATTGTTTGAGCTCCTCTCTTCCCTTAGAGGAGTGAAACTATTCCACTTTTCTAACTTTCTCAAAACTTTGAAGGGTGGAAAGTGAGCTCATTGTGTAGTGTATTGTATCTTGGAAACTCCCCTAATTGGAGGGATGAGAATCACTCACTTTTCTAACTTTCTCAATACCATGAAAAGTGAGTAGTTTCTCATTCACTCTTTAGTAAAAAGTGATGGACATATATAAATCATTCGGAAGTTATTTTTGTACATTCCTTTTATGATCAATGCTTTATCTTATGATTGTCTATTGAATGATTGAATGTATTTAGTAAAGCTAAGGTACTTGTACAATCGTGAGTCCTTTCTAAGACAAGTTAATTCTTGGTATCGGAGAACTCATTGGTTCTTTGCAATTCCCCCAGCTAGATTTTCATGACTACATTTCAATCTTCATCATTATGTTGCTTCAACTAAGAATGGAATATTAACACAATGGTTGGATGACTTGTAGAACTACTTGCTTATTTGTAGACAGGTTGAGTCTCGGCACAAATAATTCTTGTAACTCTCTACAAAAACATCGAAACTATGCTCTTAATTCTAACAGTTTATTTTTATCCTCCAATTAACTTACTGTTGACACAGGGGTTAATTGAGTTCCTAAGCATAAATATAACAACCGGATAATTAACTATATGTTCAAATCCTCGAGCTAAAGGTGATTTTTACATTTTAGAGAATATTATATTTTGTCTAGAAAATCCCTTTAGAAGGAATCTTATATTTTATCCAAGAAATCCCATAAACATCATAACTTCAAATACCAAGGGTTCCAGTCACTTTGTTCTCTGTCACTATTTACTTAAAAATACCAATATTAGTTCCTTGTGGATTCGACTCTGAACTTAACCAGATTATAACTACAACTTGACCTCCTGCACTTGGGTGTATACATTTTGGATCAAGTTAAGTTTTTAAATAAAAGGAAGGAGGCAACATTCAAATGCACAAATATCGTTTCGAATGTGCTTTGCTCTAAGTACTTTTTTAAAATCTCTGTTTCTGACAAAAATTGAGATACTGGGACTTCGGTTCGTTCGAACGCAACCCACGTTCTAACGTTACTTGCTCTCAGTACTTTGGTAGAAATCTCAGAATATCTCAAAATCGAGATACTGAGAGTTGAGTAGTTTGAACGTGGCAATCTCGTTCGAATGTGATACGTATTCTGTTTGAGATTAGTCTCTAACGACTATATTATTATAGACCTTTAAAAGGGTTACACTCCTTCATTGAAAGATGTATAGAACACTATAAATAGGGTTCAAGTGCAATAACAAAGGATCAATAATTTAATCCTTCTTCTTTTCCTTGATTCAAAACTTCTATATTTTCTGATTTTTTATTTAGGTTGAGTTTTGGTTCCACGATTATTAAGGAGTGCAGTCTTTGATAATCTTAAAATTAGGCATTGTATCTTGCGGGTAGAATTTTCAAGATTCTATCTGTATTATAAGTGGAAAAATTATTACTTTGAAGATAGCGAGTGTCGCTCCTTACCTTATGATCTATCTTCTTCAGTCTTTGATTCATTGCTTTTCTATTACTTGAAATTATGTGATAATCAGTTGTGTTGGCATCTCTATTTCAGTATCTATTGGGCAGCTGACTAAAATGTGAAAAATAAGGCGGAAAAAAAAATAAAATTCTACAACCTATTCTTCTTTACCATTGCCAAGCCTTGTGCCCCTTACCTTCTTTCACTTTGTTTCTATCAAATTGGCCACCAAGGCTATCAAAATTTCAGCATTTGGTATCAAAGCAAGTTCCGATCAACTGGGATTGAATCAACTTTTATTCATAATATAACAAAGTAAAATGGCAGCTTTAGGTAACAACTCTCAATCAAATATTCCCATTTTCAAAGGTGAAAATTATCAATTTTGGGGCATCAAAATGAAAACTGTTTTTATCTCACATGATCTATGGGAACAAGTTGAAAGTGGTTGAACAGAATATAATAATCAAGAAGGAAGAATTACAGCTGCATAGATGAAAGAAAACAAGAAAAAGGATGCCAAACTTTATCGTTCATTCAGCAAGGATTGGATGATATGATTTTTCCATGGATAATGGGAGCAAAAACGTCCAAAGAAGCATGGGAGTTGCTATAAAATGAATATAAAGGGTCAAGTCAGGTAATCAACTCAAGACTACAAACTCTTCGTCATGGATTTGAAACTATGATGATGACGCTCTCTTGTAGATCTTCTTAACACGGGTTGTGGTGGTGGCACTTGAGTTGGAAGCTCCCCCTCATTTTCTAGCTCAACATCATTTGGAAACCCACCAGCTACTTCATCATCATGAAGTGGCTGCATCTCTTACCCATTTTCATCATTCACAAT